CATTGTGAAATATAGAGCAGTGACATCGGTGAAAAAAAAACTGTGTGCATATTAATTTACAAACTCTCAGCAGATAAATTTTAAATCTCACATAGTGCGTATCCAACATTATCGTCATTATTTCAGTGCACCACACCTAGGAATTCCTCTGGTAACGGTACTGAGCCACCTGGATCCTTTAACATCGTGCATCTTTTTCCAGATCCTCACTCCAACTAGTGGGGACCTTCTGCACTTCACTTACAGGTATTAGACTGACTCGTAGTGACCTTTCTATATACATATTAAAAATAAAAAGTTTACATCTTTACTGTCAACATATTAAACTTTGTAAAAATATTATGAATAATATTTATTATATACTTTTATATTTAATACATTATAAATTAAACTTTTTGTTTTATGTAAGCTAACGTATTAAAAATTAAAAGTTTAATTTATAATATTTTCACATGATTATTGCAACTTCGTATTTTCAGTAAATAAATAAAGAAAGTGTTTTTTCATAATAATCCAAAAAATTTAATTCATCGATCAATCGTAACTTTTGTTTTGTAAAAAAATTTTTACAAAACAAAAGTTACAATTGATTTATTACAATAGTACTTATTGAAAATCACTAAAGCTTTATCACTGGTTCGGGATTTTTAAAGCATATTTTACAATATAACATTATATACACTTAGTGAGAAACATTTGGAAACAGTACGGTAGTAATCACCTCATTTCTCTTTAGTAGTATAATGACCCTTACTAAGCAATTTTTTGCTTAATAAAATTTTTATATCTTTTGATAGATACGGCTTTCATATTTTCTAGGACTTTGTTGTAAAAGAGTATAGTCGAGTAACTGATTTGATAACTTGCGCCTGTTCCTAGTATTTACATAATGGACATCACTATTTTCAATCTTACCCAATACATAATCACAATATTTGATATTAAAATTGTCGTTGCTAGAGGACCACAAGATCTCAAGGTGAAATTTGTCGGTTTCGTCTGTATAATTATATTAACGATTTTCTCACATGCAAAACCTGAATCATTGACTTCCTTAATACAAGCGGTAGCTTAATGTTAACATAGCAGCTGTCAGAGGCCCATCACTAATATGTTTTTTATTTAACCGACTGAAATAAAGAAGAATTAATAAAACGAAATTAAAAAAATAGTTATTCATCGTATTAAATTAATTATATATATATATATATATATATATATATATATATATATATAACATATATAACATATATAATAAAACATATATAATATATAAAAATTGGTGATGGATTTCTGTACAGTTTGAAGAGAACCTCCGGCCCTCCTTCAATTATTAATATTATTAAAATACTATCTCGGTCATCACCAATCCCAGCACCACCACTTTCAAAACCAACTAAACTAAACTAGGAAAGGCATACGACTCTATCGGTAATACGACACGTGTTTCGCCACTGCACGAGACATTCTTAAGTGATATAGACTTTGTGGTGGCTGATCTTAGCGATAATGCCTGATTTTTATAAGTAGTCATTCATCGGATATCAGTGATTTATAAGTTATAATAAATCTTTCTTTCAGATAACAAATGAGATCCGTATTGGACAAGAAGTTAGAAAAATCACAAAATATTAAAAAACATAGGTGGACGATGGAGGTTTACAGGACCTTAACAATTTACCTTATTATAGAAGAGTCACATTTTTGTGCCATAGGATACTGTTGGCGCTGTTCTTTGTTCTGCTCAGTAGCGATGCAACTGTTTTACGCACTATCACGTCAAACCCGTCTGTTCAAGCCTCTTATAAGCGGGGCAGCCGAAACAGAACAAAATGCCTTATTATATTGCATCTTTAACGCCGTTTGTGTGTAGTTGATCCATATGGAGCACGACGACGAAAGACTGTCAGTACGCCTTAAAAAGAGTATTTTAACATCATAATTGCATCGTGAAACCTACAGGCCAACATACATATTACTTCGGGTTGCCCTACGCTCCCTCTCTATGTCCATTTCACCACGCAAATTACCAGTCACGTAGTATCACAATTATTTGAAATGTAACACCCTCGATAAAACAGTATTGTAGAGTCTGATAAACGGTACGTGCGTGTAACTCACATTATTAGCTAATAAACAGCACAAACTCACTTAATGATTTCTTATATTTACGCGAACACTAAAAATACTAGTTTTTACGGAATTTATCGCGTATATTTAACTTTTTTAAATACCCAACGTTTCGAGAGCTTTACAGCACCCATGGTCACGGGAAGGACTGGGATGTTCAACATCCAGATGTCATAGTTAACCGCTGTTACCATAGATTAAAATTTAACTTTTGTTCTGATCTACAAAGTATGAACTTATGGTATCATGAAGTCTTGCAGTTGTATGCTTGGGTTGGGATTTAATTTTGTTTATTATAGGATCCCAAGCAGATGGTAGCACCCAACCATCTTCTCTATTGAAATTAGGATGTTTTTTGATTTCAATAGCCTCATGAATCATCCTTGGAAGGAATCGGTGTTCTTTAGCGAGGATTTGTGGTCTATCAAATCTGATGTAGTGACGGGGGCGATCCTGTACGTGTTCACAGACTGCAGACTTCGCGGAGCGTCGATTCTTCACATCAGCTATATGTTCTTTAACGCGGGTTTTAATTGATCTTTTAGTTTTTCCTATATAGGAGAGACCACATTCACACTTGACTGATGGTAAAAACTGACCAATCTTCTTCGGCGGCTTGAAGTATGTTTTGATAGAAGCACGCTTCAAGATGTAGCCAATCTTGTCAGTGACTCCTCTAACATATGGCAGTACAGCAAAATGGATAATACCTACGTGCGCCAAATCACCAAAGTTGTATGGGTTATCAAAAATACACAAGCCCAATGCTCCATTACGTCCCATAGTGAGCCAAATCGATTCACCAACTTACAGATTGGCTCAACACTTAGCGAAAATACTCTCACCGCTCAGGAGACATACAAGAGCACACATAAAGGATTCCTACCATTTTGTCAGCGAGATTAAAGACCTACGTCTGGCAGACAATGAATCTATGGTCAGTTTTGATGTGCAGTCATTGTTTACATGCTTACCTGTTGAAGACTGCATCTCAATTGTAACTAGAAGGCTGGAAGAAACAACATGCCCGTAGAATATGCAGTATTACTCAGACACTGCCTTACATCTGGTTACCTATTGTGGAAGGAGGAGTTCTACAAGCAAGTAGTTGGTGAGGCGATGGGCTCACCTGTATCTCCCATTGTCGCCGACATATTCATGGAAGAGAGAAAGCCCTGCTTACTTCTCCCATAAATCCAAGATTCTACAAGCGGTACGTAGACGACACGTTCACAATTCTACCTTTAGATAAAGTAACTGCATTTTTAGACCATCTTAACTCTATAAATTCTAAAATTCAGTTTACAATGGAGTTAGAGGCAAACAATTCCTTAGCTTTTCTAGATGGGTTAGTAATTCGGAATCCTGATAACACCTTGAGCCATACTGTGTATAAAAAAAGACCCTTACAGATAGATATTTAAACGGTGATTCTCACCACCATCCTTCACAGTTAGCTAAATCTTTGTTTCAGAGAGCACGAGGGATCTGTGACAGTAAACACCTGGCTGCCGAGCTCCAACACGTCAAGCAAGTTTTGCATGACAACAAGCTTTCTTTTAAGTGATACTAGTAATATAACTGCAGCATGGCTGTACTACGCACAACGAGTAATTACGAAAAACCTCTATTGACAATTTTTTCAACCCTTGCCGATGTTTACAGACTCGAAAACCTTTACACATTGTTTTTGTATCGTTAAAACTACATTAAATATATCAATGATGCAAAGTTGAGTGTCAAAATTTTGATTTCAAACCATATTTGCCTGGACTATTTTATATATATAAATTAGGAATATGAATATATTTAAATATATTATTGCAAATTCGTTCTATATACTATCGCTTTAATCTATAATTAAATAAAACGTTTGAGAATCACTAACTGGGAATTCATTATACTCGTACTACTTAACTGTGAAAGAACCAATTACCATTACCAATACCAATACTTATCAAATTGTGGACAGGTCTGCTCAGCTCGTAATACTGCTGCCCTGCGACTCTTCCACCATCAGTTCATCATCATCATCATTACAGCTCTTCACAAGTCCACTGCTGAACATAGACCTCCCCCAAGTAATGCCACAAAACACGGTCCTGAACCATCAGTAATATCAGGTGCCTATGGCACTGATATTTTACAATTTTTTATTTTCATTCCATCAGTTGGTCGGCAGGAAAGTTGTTGTAACGTTATTGAGGTTGGAATTTGAAGAGAATATTTTCGTATTTATCATTTGCATTTTCATAATTAATCGAGTACCTATAAATGTAGGTGTCTATAGCCCAGAGCATTCACTTGCCATCACGTGAGCTGTGTGCTCGGTTGACACCTTTACTCTATAAAAAATACCGCAATCTCTGGCGACTTTGATATTTCTGGCTACCAACATAGTCAGCTATATTTTTTATAGAATAATGATGACAGACGAACACACAGTCCACCTGATGGTGTAAGTGGACGATGTGGCTCATTGACATCTACACCATTACGCCGAACCATTCGTGCTACAAACATAATATTATAACATCAGCGTGGCTTTACTACGTATTAAAAAGATTTCCTCATAACGGGGATATTTGTTTGCTTATTCCTCTTGTTATTATTTAGTATTAGAATCGAACCCTTGGTCTGCAGTGTTGCACTTAAACCCCCAGTAACACTACTGCGAGTCGTCTCTTTCTTTGCAATTATAGTAAAATAGACAATTATAGAGTTGTTACGTGCAAAATTCTACCCGGCACTAGTTCAGCGAGGACGCGTTGTGAAATATCGGGCAGCGGCGATATATATATCTGCGTGGAAGTCTGCCCGTACACAACTCGACTTACACTCTCCAGAGAATCTAATCGCCTTACAGAATCATGAAATCTTTCGTAAGTATTCAACACCAAAGATATAAATTACGGAAGCTATTTATTAGACATATATATGTCTAACAAATACCTTCCGTACTTTATAGATATTAATAATATGTTAAAAATTACTTAAAATAACAATGTATTAACTGAATAAAGTTCTATTCAAACGCTGAATTCATAAAATTTGACGTTGGTTTTCTTTGAAAGTTTATTATAGCTAATAATTTTTTCCTTTCAAAAATGATGTATTAAGGTTTTTTAAATTCAGGTCGCAGTACTGTGCCTGGTGGCATGTGTGGCAGCTGAAGAAAACGCACGCGAAAAACGCGGCTACCTCGGAGGGCTGCACTCCGGCGGTTTTGGAGGTGGCTTGTCGCTCGGCGGAGGCTACTCCGGCCACAGCAGCTCTTCTGGCTTAGGCGGTTACTCTGGTTCAAGCGGGTACTCCGTGCCCTCAGCTCAAGTTGTCTCCGTCAGCAAAGTTGTGAACGTCCCTAAAGTTGTGAGCGTTCCACAAGTAGTCAACGTAAACAAGGTCGTCTCCGTGCCCCAAGTTGTAACAGTGAACAGATTAGTTTCCTCCGGCAGTGGATATAGCGGCGGATTCGGAAGCGGACTTGGTGGCGGACACAGCGGTGGATACAGCGGCGGATACAGCGGCGGATACAGCGGCGGATTCGGAATTGGACACGGTGGTTACTCTGGTGGCCACTCCAATGGCTGGTAATCAAGCGATATTATGGCATAATAGTCAATTTCTTTTTTTTTTAATTTATATTAAATTTGACTGAAAAATAAATATGTATATTTTATTTACATCTTAATTAATTCGCCAGAACTAATCCTATCCCTTGTCGACCTTATTTCCTTTTAAAATATAAAAATTAATTGGTCTAATTTAAATAAAAACTAAAATAAAAACGTAACTCGAAATTTACACACGAGCTACTGAATGGTAATACATAATTAACATTAATACATAACCATATTCTCATGAACTATTACAAGTAAGCCTAAAATCATTGTAATAGGTGCGGTTAAATCAAACTTGAAACTTGTATTTACAAATAGTAGCCTGAAATTTATATTCACATGGTTAAATTTACAAATAGTAGCCAATAGCGTTAACCACCTAAGCTTAATGTAGTTAAGCTTAACTTAAACGACAAGCAACTTTTAGATAAAAGGTTTTAGTAAAATTAAGGAATTAATTTATTCAATACAACCTATAAAATTCCACTGCTTAACATAGTCATCCCTCTTTGAATGCCCTATGGTGGAATGTGGCCATAGTTGCCACGCTGGATTGGCAACCGCATTTTTAAGACGCTATCGTCTAGTACGAAGAACGAAGAATAAAGATACAATAATATGTTTTATTTCTACCAACGATATGGTTACTAAAGATAGTATGCAATGTAGAAACTCATAAAAATGTAGATAGCACATTTTATCGACGTATCCTTTGAAAGTTCAATAAAGTTATTTATATATTTTTTTAAGACATTTAAACATTTGTTCATATAGATTTTATAATACATTAAAATCTATAAAAGTCCAATGCTGACTATACATCTCCGCATAGAACAGATACGGGGAATTTGCCATAATTGCCACGCTCAGCGGGCGAGTTCAATAGAAGTTTTTATTTATTTATGCTTTTATGCACAAAGTAGTACATATGACTTAATGCCATAGGGCATTCTCTCCCAGTCAACCATTATTATTACTTTGAGTGGTTATCAGGAAGGTGTTGGTGCCCATCTTGTTTTTCTATTATAAGTAAAAATTCACTACAATCTCGCTTTATTATTCTGTTTTAGTTTTAATCTGTCGTGTCTTAACATACCGGACGATAGCGGGTAGTATATATTTTTATGCAGCCACTATATAGTTACAATTTCATATATAACAATAAAAATATGTTAACATAAAATTAATTTTTAAAATTGATGAGAGTCAAGAAAATTATAGATGCAGTGCGAAATCAGGCGATTATGTGATTTTTGTGTATTTGAAAACGATTTACCACATAAAATGATCACGTCGCATTAACAATTTTACATCATATCAGATCTTTTAAAAAGTTAAGAAAGTGTTTCAAATTTTTGTGTTGAGGCATGTATCTCGTCGTTGATGCTATCCTAGTTGTAGCTATGCTATTGTGAGAGGCGAATAGGTAGTTGACATCAAAGTAAACTATTTGGTACGTTGTATAAAATAATGTTTAGTTATATGAGCCGTTCTTTACGCATTGTGGTTTGTGTTTCATTATGGAAACCTAAGTAAATGACGGAATTTTAGATAAAATTTAATAAAGTTATTGACTATATAGATTTATGTACGCGTAAATGAATTAATAAAGTATTTAAGTAATTACTCCGTGTGATAGCGGCGTAAGAAAGTCTACCCCACGCCCTCATCACGTGAGTGTCGTGAACGGTGGCAAAGTAAAACCGAAACACGAAATGGGCAGCATAATCTTCCTGATAACAAATCAAAATAATGAAAAACCTGTGGCAGCCAACCCGTCCACCAATCGTGGCAACTTTGGTGAATATGCCAATCTAAGCGAGAGAGGTTTATATTTAAATTTATAGGCTGTAATGATAATGATGATGATCATATCATTTTTATATGAGGTAGAGCCATGCTGCAGTTATATTAGTAGTATAGCTGTAGCACGAACGGGTCGGCTCGACCGGGGAGGGACCACGCTCTCACAGAATACCAGCGTCAAATAATAGCTTAATGCTGCTGTGTTTCGTATGGTGAGTGTAGAGGACTGGAGACCATTTTTACTGGAAACGAGGCATTCCACCTAAGTACTCACGGGTGACAAAGCATCCGCATTTTGATTCGTAATCGAGGACAGATGTAGATGTCTATGGGCCGCAGCAACCACTTACCATCAGGTGGACTGTGTGCTCGTTTGTCACCCGATAGGGTACTATATAGGACACTATAGAAAAAAAAAGTTCGAAACGCTATTGTTTTGTGCTTTGTACGGACTTTCAAATGAATTTCCAGGCCAAATTAATTTATGTAGTGTTGTGTGTTCAATTCAATTTTGAATTTTTTCTGTCAGCCTGTGATAGACCACTGCTTAAGCCACAGCAACTACTTACCATCAAGTGGACTGTGTGCTCGTTTGTCAACCTTATCCTATAAAAAAAGAAGAAAAAAACATTTATAACTTTAATTTATTATCCTGAGTCCATCGATTAGGACAGTAAAACAATTATCAGGAGCTTCTGAGGCCTGCGAAAAACCGTTCGCACTCAAGTACAATTCTAACGAAAGATAATTTTGCTAGCGGAGATTAAAGTACCGATCAATGTACCAAATGTGCCATTTACCTGGCAACCCGGTAATGGAAAATAGAAAAAGGATATTAATCTAAATTTTTACGTGTTTTGGACTTTTGATTAGTATTAATTTTGTTTGGTAGCAAGTAAGTGAAATAACAAAAAAAATTAAAACGAAGGTTATGTTCGGTGGATGAATTAAAACGGAGCGATTATTATGAAGAAACGCTTTATTTATTAGACTGTAAACACGATGTTGCATTATTCATTCGTTTTATTGTTTGTAAAACGTTACCCTTTTGCATATAATTATTCGGTATATGCATATAATTGTTCGGTAAATCTCTGAATAGTGCAACATATCCTGACGTAGAACCTCCCAGTCAACCAACGTTGAGAGCGAGTGTACACCGTTGGCGCTCTGCCGTATTTTACTCACCCGTGATCTTACACGATACACACACCAGTCTGTATTTAATCTGAGATTCATTCAAATGTTTTACACATACGGCCTTGTAAAAAATTGATGGTTCGAATCCCGGGTCGAGCCAAAAATAAGTTAACTTTCTGTCAGGAAATTTTCAGTAGCATCCCGGAGTCAAAAAGATCGCTATATTTAACCTCCGTGCCACAAAAAGCACGTAAAGCTTTTGGTCCTGCCCCTGATCTTTCTCCGGCCATGTGCTTTTCGTACTTGTTGTGTGGGGTATGGAACTTATGATCTGCAGTGCAGCAGGCAGCTACCCAGTCGTAATTATTAATTTTTGTTTATAACTATATCAAAAGAGACATTTATAAAATTATTAAGCGCAAAATTCTACCGGGCATTCGTTCAGCGAGGACGCGTTGTGAAATATCGGGCAACGGCGATATATATATCGCCGCGGCAGACTGTCCGTACACAACTTGACTTACGCTCTCCAGAGAACCTAACCATTGTACAGAATCATGAAATCTTTTGTAAGTTTTCAACACTAAAGTCATATGTATTATATTATATATATATATATATATATATATATATATACACATAATTAGATTAAGTTTAATATATATAATTCCTTCAGTTATTTATACATTTTCATAGTATGTTAAATTATTGTCAAAAATCACATTATATTAACTTCAAGTTCTATTTAAACAGTGAATTCGAAAGATCAGATGTTAATTTAAAAATAAATATTATGGCTAATAATATTATCCTATCGATATTCATGTAACTACAATATTTTTTAATTATAGGTCGCAGTACTTTGCCTGGTGGCATGTGTGGCAGCTGAAGAAAAAGCACGCGAGAAGCGCGGCTACCTCGGAGGTCTGCACTCCGGTGGCTTAGGAAGCGGCTTGTCGCTCGGCGGTGGTTACTCTGCCCGAGGCTCTCGGCTCAAGCGGCTACTCTGCGCCCTCAGCTCAGCTCGTCACCGTCAACAAAGTTGTGAACGTCCCTAAAGTTGTGAGCGTACCCGAAGTAATCAACGTGAAGAAGGTCATCTCCGTGCCCCAAGTTGTATCCGAAAACAGATTAGTGTCCTCCGGCGGTGGATACAGCAGCGGATTTGGAAGCGGACTCGGCGGCGGACACAGCGGCGGATACAGCAGCGGATACAGCAGTGGACTCGGAATTGGACGCGGTGGTTACTCTGGTGGCTACTCCAGCGGATGGTAATTGAGCGATGTTACATCAAATTAGTAAATTGTTAAATAATTTTTATGTAAAAATTTAAATTTGTATTGACAGAAAAATTAATATGCATATTTATATTACATTTGCATTTTATTTAATTTATCATATCAACACAGCACTAGTGATAAAAAAAGAAAAATTAAATTCGACACTACAACACAAATCACTTATTGACAATCAAACAAAATTAAAATATAAAATTAATTGGGCTAATTTGAACAAAAGCTAAAATAAAAACGTAAAAATTAATTTATATACAAGCTACATAATAAAATAATAATAAAATAAAATTGCCTTTTATTATACATACATTAATATAATATAAGAATTACATTCAATTGTAAATTTCATTACACTGAATAAATTGTTATATTAGAATTACTTTCAATTGGAAATATGTTTTATTTCTACCATTGAGGTGGTTACAAAAGATAGTATGCAATATAAGAACTCATGGAAACGAGGACTTTTTATATAGAATAAAGGTGACAAACGAACACACAGTCCACCTGTTGGTAAATGGATGCTGTGGCCCATAGACATCTACATTTATCCTCGATAAAGAATCAAAACGCAGATGCTTTGTCACCCCTGAGGACTAAGATGGAATGCTTCGTTTCCTGTAAAAAAGTCTCCAGATCTCTACACACATCAGACGAAACACAGCAGTATCAAGCTGGTATTTTACGCTGGTATTCTGTGAGAGCGTGGTCTTTCCCCGCTCGAGCCGACCCATTCGTGTTACAACCATAATATGACGGCGTGGCTCTACTATATACAGAAGGATAACAATTATTTTCTTTAGAACGTATAATAAGTATATATATATATATATATATATATATATATATATATATATATATATATATATATCGGACCTGGATGACCGGATTTTTTTTTTTGGAAATCGTGTGTAATATGAATAATATTTTTTGATCTTACTGACATAATAGAAAAAAAACAGAACTCGTTTGAATAAAAAGTCATGAGTGCAATTAGTTTAATTTGTGATTTTCAAAATTTACTAAAAAAGGGCTGGAAATAATAGATTTTCTCACAAAAGAGGGGAACTTGAAAAAAAAGGCAAAACGTCGGACCGAAGACAAGACTCGAACCAGTGCACTACAATTTCCGAACCGGCCGATATCCCATTTGACCTATTATAGTCATTTACGCATTGCAAAAAATTACCATCTTATTGTAATGATATTGTAGCAGTTTTTCATTTCCTGAAAACACGGTTAAAACGACGATTTCAAAAAATGAATCCTAGCTAGATCGATTTATTGCCCCTGAATTTTATGAATTTCCGAGATTCCGATTACATATTTATATATATACAAGAGTAGCTCCTTTAAAGGTATTGGATATATATATATATATATATATATATATATATATATATATATATATATCATGTGATCATACATCTACACGGGGATCCACCCGTGGAATATAAACGGGGAATATTGCCATATTTTGCTACGCTTGCAGACGGGTTCAATGGCAGTTTTTAATTACTTGGAGTTGTTATCAGCAAGGTGCTGCTGTCAGAAGAGATCTCCTTCTTCTATTGTAAGCCAGCACGTTATTATTCTCTTTCAGTTTTAGTTTGTCGCATCTTAAGACACCCACATGATGCTATGGGGTAGTGGATATTCTCTACGCGTAACAACTTTATAAACTAATAAAGTACTTTTAAAAAAAGTATTTATACAATGCTTGCTATAACTACTTATAAAACTTATTTTGCTTGAAGGTGACAACCTCATTCCCGGGGTTATCATTTATATTATAATAACCCTGTATATACAGTTTTTGTTTAATAAAATGTGCGTCAAACTTGGTAACAGACTTTGTACATTTTCTTGGACTTTGTTATATTGTTTTTGCCTCATGAATGAATTACTGACTCTGTGTTCTGCTTCACTAATAAATCTAGTACTTTTTTACAGTTTAAAAATGTTCTCACCTAATTCAAGATATTTTCATTATGGCCGCATCATTTGCTCAAACTTATGTTATTAGTGGATATTCTTACACCGAGCGTACCACTACACGCACAACTGTATATATAACAATTAAAATATGTTAACATATTATTAGTTATAGATGCAGCGTGAAAGCACGCAGAGGTATAGATGTAATTGATAACGTATTTGAAGATGATTTACCACAAACATATACACGGCGCATCAACAATTTTGGGCGTATTATTAGTTCTATTAAAAACTTAATTAAAATTTTCAAGTATTTGTGTTGAGGCATGAATCTTGTCGTTGATGCTATCCCGGTTGTAGCTGTGTTATTGTGAGAAGCGAATAGGTAGTTGACATGAAAGCAACCATTTAATACGTAGTAGTAGGTGATGTGTAGTTATCTGAGTCGTTCTTTATGTATTGTGGTTTGTGTTTCTTTGTGGAAACACAAGTGACGAAAGTTTAGACACTACTTATAAAACTTAATTAAGTTATTGACTATATAGGTTTATCTACGCGTAAACAAATTAATAAAATATTTAACTAATTACCCGACGTGATGGCGGCGTAAGAAAATTACTACCCAATTTCATTCCGGGAGTGTCGTAAGAGGAAGAGGAAAAGAAGAGGTAGGACAGGGGAAGACTGAAACAGAAAATGGGTGGCAGTATATTTCTGATAACAACTCAAACTAATAGTCCATTCGTGGAAATATTGGAAAATATCTCAATCTTAGAGAGAGGTCTATGTTTAAATTACATAAGCTATAATGATCATGAATATCATACTTAACTAGTAAGAAACTCAAACGCAAATTGGTTTCGAGACCAAATTAATTTATGTAGTGAGGTTCTTTGCTCATAATTCAATTTCAACTTTTTCTTTTTATCAGTCTGTGACAATTCCTTCAGCCACAGCAACTTTCCACCATCGGGTGGACTGTGTGATCATTTGTCACCATTTTTCTATAAAAAATATTTATTAATTTAACCAGTTACCCCGAGTCCATCGATTGGAACAATAAAACAATTATTAGGAGTTTCTGCGCACGTTGTACAATCGTTTGGACTTAAGTACAATGCTAACGAAAGAGAATTTATTAGTGTGGTTTAAAGTACCGATAAATGTATCATATGTGCTATTGAACTGGCAACACAGTAATAGAAAATGGAAAAAGGTAAGCACTCTAACTTTCGCATGTATTGTACTTTCGAATGGTATTAAATTTGTTTGGTAAGTAAGTGAGTGAAATAACAAAAAGATTAGAAACGAAGGTTTTGTTTGATGGATCAATTAAAATTGACCGATTATTATGAAGAAACGTTTTATTTGTTATATTGTAAACACGATGTTGCATTAATCATTTTTATTGTTTGTAAAACGTTACCTTTTCCTAAGTAGGATTTCTATTGTATCATGGAGGCGGCTCACATACATAAATTGAGCAAAAACAAAACTCCAGACCTGGAACAATTATTTGTAGGACATACAAATACTTGTTCTGTTCGAGATTTAATTACAGTATTTTTATTAACGGTAGCCGTGTGTGATAAAAAATACTTTTCATTCGGTGAGCAGATATGTGAAGGGTGAATTTATTTCAGATTTCAGGCTACGTATTAGGGTAAACACTTGTACTTGATTCACAATATTTATTTTAAATTAATAATATATTACCCAACGAACTAGAAGCGCCACGCTGCAGCTATAATATGGTTGCAGCACGAATAGATCGACTCGACCGAGGTGGAACCCCGCTCTCACAGAATAGCAGCGTTATATATTGAGTGTAGAGAAGCAGAGACCGTTTTTACTGGAAACGAGTCATTCCATCTTAGTCCTCAAAGGTGACAACGCATTTGAATTTTGATTCTTAATCGAGAATAAATGTAGATGTCTTTGGGCTACAGCATCCACTTACCATCAGGTGGACTGTGTGCTCAGTTAATATGGTCACTTCCTTATAACTAAAAAACTGCTACCTTGTATGCAAAGACGGCTTTGTGATACAATAGATTTTCATCAGTCAATCAATAATAAAATTACAAAACGGCGCCCCTTTATCAAAGCCTTTGTGACAGATGACATAATATTAAATATATTAGTCGATTTTAGTGAGGTTTAGTGTAGTTACTTTTTATTTTGTGGATTTTTCGAGGTGTTTCTAATTATTGCCAAAGTATTTTTGTTTTATTTTTTCTTAATATATTAGTTATAGTATACGAAATTGTGTTTTTGTCTCTATCCTCCCCCTACTTTAAGTTCGATCGCGCGGTAAAGCTCAAACTGACCATATTACTCTCACGTACCTTATACAAAAATAACAATTATTAAAATCGACCAGTTTCTAGTATTTTAATAGTTTTTAATTATTAATATATTAATAATTAAAATAAATATTGTGAAACTATGTAGTACAAGTGTTAATCCAAATCACAAAAATGAAACTACAGTTTCACCAAGTGTCAACAATCGCTAGTATAAATTATATATACCTAATGTGTATTTTCTACGAACTTTATGACAATCTTTTTGTAAAATTATGAGTAAATATTTACGTTCGGGTACTGGATATGTAGTGTGTTGAAACTGGAAACAAAAATGCATATAATTATTCGGTAAACCTCTGAACAGTGCAATCTGCAGCATATTCTGACGGAGAACCTCATAGACGATCAAACCATTGAGAGGGTGTGCACAAAGTTGGCGTTCCTGCGTATTTTGCTCACCCGTGGTCTTACACGATTCACAAACCAGTCTAACTGCCTTTAATCTGAGATTCTTCCAAATATTTTACACATACAACCTGGAGGTCCGATAAACGTTGAGGCCTACACTCCTTCAGAGTGCCAAAAATCTGTTAATTTTCTATCCTGCGCTCGATCTCTCTCCGGTCGTGTCCATTTCATATTTATTTTATTTATTTATTTATTTATTTATTTATTTCTTTTAGGAAGGCTTACAGACTAATATCTTCGTAAAGTTACAAAATGGTGATAAAAATTGCTAATTACAAGCCTCCACATATTACTTTCATCCAACTTTATACAAATTTAAAAATACTTTAGGGAATACTTAAACTATTACAAAAACAATAACAAAAAATGCAAAAACATTAACCAGAAAAAAATGAGTCAATGAGCAACTTGAGTCATGCTAGTCGCGGCTGCGAATGAAAATTTGTGTGGGGAATTTGTGGGGAATCGAACTTATGATCTGCAATGTAATAGGTGAACCCTTAGCTACAGAGTCGTAATTGTTAATTTTTGTTTATAATTATAGCAAAACAGACAATTATAAAGTAATTAAGCGCAAAATTCTACCGGGCATTCGTTCAGCGAGGACGCGTTGTGAAATATCGGGCAACGGCGATATATATATCGCCGCGGCAGACTGTCCGTACACAACTTGACATACGCTCTCCAGAGAACCTAACCATTGTACAGAATCATGAAATATTTTGTAAGTTTTCAACACTAAAGTTTTATATATATATATATATATATATATATATATATATATATATATATATATATATATATATATATATATATATATATATATATCTTTAGTTCTTTATATATTTTCATTAAATGTTAAATTATTACTTTAAATCACATGTATTAACTTAAAGTTTTATTTAAACGGTGAATTCGATCGATCAGTAATTGGTTTTTTAATGGCTCATAATATTTTCCTATCGATATTCACGTAATTACGATATTTAATTATAGGTCGCAGTACTGTGCCTAGTGGCATGTGTGGTAGCTGAAGAAAACGCACGCGAGAAGCGCGGCTACCTCGGAGGTCTGCACTCCGGTGGCTTCGGAAGCGGCTTGTCGCTCGGTGGTGGTTACTCCGGCCATGGAGGCTACTCTGGCTCAAGCGGCTACTCCGCGCCCTCAGCTCGGCTCGTCACCGTCAACAAAGTTGTGAACGTCCCTAAAGTTGTGAGCGTACCCGAAGTAGTCAACGTGAAGAAGGTCATTTCCGTGCCCCAAGTTATATCTGAAAACAGATTAGTGTCCTCCGGCGGTGGATACAGCAGTGGATTTGGAAGCGGACTCGGCGGCGGACACAGCGGCGGATACAGCAGTGGACTTGGAATTGGACACGGTGGCTACTCCAGCGGCTGGTAATTGAGCGATGTTATGTCAAATTAGTAAATTGCTAAATTATTTTTTATAAAAATTTAAATTTATATTGACAGAAAAATAAATATGTATATTTTTATTTATATTTGCATTTTAATTAATTCATCATCAAAGTCACTATCGATAAAAGTGAAAAATTAAAGTTGACTCTACAAAAAAAAATCACTTATTGACAATCTTATAATTGAAATATAAAAATTTATTGGGCTAATTTGAACTTACAACTAATTTGAACAAACTTTTTTAATTTATGTAAATTACAGAAACAACAGAATAAAATAATACACAAGTAAGCTTAAAATCATTGTAATATTAGGAGTGGTTAAATTAAACTTGAAATTAAGCATATCTTTAACCAGGTGGTACAAAGTTAAATTTACAACTAGTAACCAATAGAGTTCACCACATAAGATAAATATATACGGTTAAGCTTAAGCCGCGGCAGCTCAGATGGTTAACGCTCGCTGTAAATATAACAGAGCGCGAGCAATCCCCTCCGGCACCAATTAAATCGCAATTGCAATTTTAGGTGCTAATTTACCATGTGCTCAGCGGTGAAGGAAAACATCGTGAGGAAACCTGCATATCTAAGGAATAAGAAAAAAAATTATTTCGAAGACATGTGAAGTTTGCCAATGCGCATTGGGGCAGCGCGGCGGACAATTCCTTGCCCTAAAAACCTCTCAGAAATGAGGGGAGGCCTGTGCCCAGCAGTGGGACGTATATAGGCTGTAACTTTACTTTACTTTACAAAGCTTAACTTAAACAACGTGCAGCTGTTAATGTTTAAGTAACGAAATATAAAAATAAAGAAATCATTCATAAATGACAGCGTATCTAAGTCCACTCCTTGACACAATCCTCCCCCAAGATTGCCTGATATTTACCATATTTGCTGTGCTTACCTGACAGGTTTCATCATCAATACAGCCTTCACAAGTCCACTGCTGAACATAGGCTTCCCCCAAGGTATGCCACAAAGCACGGTCCTGAGCCACCTGCATCCATCGACTTCCTACATGTCTTACCAGGTCGTCACTCCATCTAGTGGGGGGTCGCCCTACACTTTGCCTACCGGTACGAGGCTGCCACTCGAGAACCTTTTTCCCCTACGGTTGTCGGTTCTTCGAGCTTTATGGCCGGCCCATTGCCACTTCAGCTTACTCCACCGTTGAGCTACGTCAGTCACTCTAATTCTACTGCGGATATTCTCATTTATAAGTTTATCACGCAGATGAACTCCGAGCATAGCCCTCTCCATAGCTCAGTGAGCGACTTTGAGCGTCCTCATACGGCCAGCAGTGAAGGACCACGTCTCGGTTCCGTAGGTCATTACTGGCAACACGCACTGGTTGTACTACTTAGTTTTCAGGTTTTGAGGTATACCTGACAAGAAGATGTGTCGTAATTTCCCGAACGCTGCCCAGACGAGTTGAATCCGTCATTTGACCACTCGGTCGAAGTTGGACTTACCTAGGCGAACTGTTTGTAGGTAAACGTACTCGTTAACAACTTCGAGCTTAGTACTCCAACAACTACACCTCTCGCTTGAGATCCCAGGAAGCTATTCTGACTAATATCACGAGGACGTCCATACAATTTTTTTGTGTGTGTGTGTGCGTGCGTGCGTGCGTGAGTGCGTACGTGCGTGCGTACGTGCGTGCGTGCAAGACTTCAGGATACCATAAGTTGATACTGTGTAAAGAAGTCTTGCTGTTGTATGCTTGGGTTGGGAAATCCCAACCCAAGCATACAACTGCAAGACTTCAAGATTGGGAAATCCCAACCCAAGCATACAACTGCAAGACATCAAGATACCATAAGTTCATACTGTGTATATCGGAACAAAAGTTAAATTTTAATCTATGGTAACCGTCTGAACGTTGAACATCTTAGTCCCCCCCCCCCGTGACCATGGGTGCTGCAAAGTGCTCAAAACGTCGGATATTGAAAAGGTTAAATATACGCGATAAAATCCGTAAAAATTTGTATTATTTAAATATGTAGTGTTCGCGTAGATATAAGAAATCATTAGTTAATAAAGTGTTTCAAGATTTTTGTTGTTGATGCTATCTCGGTTGTAGCTGTGTTATTGTGGCAAGTGAGTAGGTAGTTGACATCAAAGCAACCATTTAATACGTAGTAGTAGGTGATGTGTAGTTATCTGAGTCGTTCTTTATGTATTGTGGTCTGTGTTTGTGGAAACACACGTGACAGAAGTTTAGACACTACTTATAACATTTAATTAAGTTATTGACTATATAGGTTTAGCTACGCGTAAACAAATTAATATAATATTTAACTAATTACCCCACGTAATAGCGGTGTAAGAAAATCTACTACCCCGTATCATCCCGGGAGTGTCGTAAGAGAAAGAGGAAAAGAGAAGAATGAAGGACAGGGTAAGACTAAAACAAAAAATGTGTAACAGTATCTTCCTGATAACTCAAAATAATGATAAAACAGCGTTTGCCAACCAGCCCCCGCCAACTGTGGCTATGGAGAATATCTCAATCTAAGATAGAGGTCTATGTTTAATTTACATAAGTTATAATGATCATGATGATGATGATGATATTTAACTAGTTAGAAACGCAGACGTAAATTGATTTCGAGACCAAATTAATTTCTGTAGGTAGTGATGTTCTTTGCTCAATTCAATCTTGACTTGTTTTTTATATCAGCCTGAGCCAGGCCCGTGCATTTATCACAGCAACTACTTACCATCAGGTGAACTGTGTGATGACAGTGCTAACGAAAGAGAATTTTTAGTGGGAGTTAAAGTACCGATCAATGTATCACATGTGTCATTGACCTGGCAACGCAGTAATAGAAAATGTAAATGCCATTAAAACATAACTTGTAAAAAATACCAAGTCGCGCGATTGGCAAGTCAATCTACTTATTAAAAATATAAAAGATTTTTAATATTGATATGGTCACTATAAGATGTTGTTAGGACTGCTTATTACGTAATAACTTAAGACAGAAAGTAGTAGTAGTTAGTAGTTAAGTAGGGACTGAATGAATGAACCGACTTGCTGTTACATGGATCTCACAACTTTTACAGTAGAAGAACTGAGTTGCGAGACTTGGTTTTTTTTACAAGCTATGTTTTTGATGACATCTTATTTCTTTTAATAAATATTACTACTTTTTTTCCTTTTCGGTACCATTATTCCATTATTTAATACGAAATATTTTAGTTTTTACTTGATTTATATACTAAATTTGAAGCTTCTATGTCTGCTAGAAATGCGTTAGAATTTTGATGATTAGTTAGTCAGTCAGTGAGTGACAAAATTAAGAAACTTTGACTTGTTATAATTCTTAAACTACTGGGTCAAATTGAATGAAATTTAAAATATACTTTTCTTATACAATCCCTGCTTGGGGACTGAAAATTCAGGCTTCTAGTTTAATACACAACGAAGTTATAGTGGGGTCGAAAATGGCCTGAATTGCTTCGAGAAAAGGATGGTATGTCCGTGCCGCTTTCTTGCTCGACTTGGCGGGGCAATGCCGTGCCTCCAGAAGGTAAGCAATCTTAGTTTTTAATGTATTGTACTTTCGATTAGTATTAGATTTGTTTGGTAAGTGAGTGTAATAACAAAAAGAATTGAAACAAAGGTTATGTTTGAGGATCAATTAAAATTTATCGATTATTATGAAGAAACGCTTTATTAATTAGACTGTAAACACGATGTTGCATTAATTATTTTTTATTGTTTGCAAAACGTTACCTTCTTCACACTTTGATTTTCTCCTATGTCGCTTACATACATAAATTGCGCAAATACCAACATCCAGACCGGAACAATTATTTGTAGGCTATACAAATACTTGTGCCGTGCGAGACCTAATTACAGTAGTTTTAATTAAAGGTAGTCATGTTTGATACAAAATACTTTTCAATCGGTGAACAGATGTATGAAGGGAATTCAGTTCAGATTTTGGATCATGTATTTGGATAAACACTTGTACTTGATTCCCAATATTTATTTTAAATTAATAACATACTATCCATCAAAGTAGTAGAGCCACGCTGCAGTTATATTATGATTGTAGCACGATTAAGTCGGCCCGACCGGGCTAGGACCACATCATCTTCTGAGATATAACGACACCCTGTCTTACACCTTTCAGCAGTTGGATAGGTTTCGTACTCTGGTCCTGTAGTCATCGTAGCCCTTATGTACAAACACTTCAGCACTTCAATATACTGACACTTAACTTGGCACCGCTGAAAGAATTACAGCACCGCCCAAACTTCGACGGAATTAAAGGCTTTCTCATAGTTCACATACGCAAGACATTGTGGCAGATTGTACTCTTCGGTCTTATGTACAATTTTCCGAAGGGTATGTTTGTGGTTTATAGTGCTAAATCTTTTTCAGAAACTGGCTTGTTCAGGAGGCCGGAAGTTGTCAAGTCTGCGTGCGGGACGAATCGTAATGACTCTCAAAAACAGCATGTAGAAGCACCTCAGAATAGAAATCTTATTCAAGATAGTGTTTTTTTTTTCTACTAGATAAACCACCGCACTTCTGCTCCTCGCCTCCGGAGTAGTGTCACCATGAAGGATAGAATTAAAGAGCTTCTGAAGGAATTCAACTGGTTTTCCATCCGCTTCCAGAAGCTCCGGTGTAATTTCACCCTGCCGCCATAGTATCAAAAAATACATAAATTACAATAACCCCTGGGATCGCCACTATTCTATTAAAATTCGTTCAAAAAATTTGTACAAGCTTATTGCAAAGTGAAATATCTTTTAAAAAAATCTACTTGGTTTTTTGCTGGTTTTTTTCGGGACAGAGGTATTTTCCGTAACAGTGGTAAATAAAATGACTTTCAATAATATTATGTAATAATCTATATTGAATAAAAATTATTCGGTTCCCTCCATTCTATACTGCTACTGCAGATGATATTTGATTAATTGTAAAATAACAAATAATATTAACTTTACAGAGCCCATCGATTGGGACAATAAAATAATTGTAAAGAAGAATTAATGTTGGGGATAAAGTACATCATCATCATCATCATTACAGCTCTTCACAAGTCCACTGCTGAACATAGGCCTCCCCCAAGTAACGCCACAAAGCACGGTCCTGAGCCATATAATGTATATAATAGGATAAAGTACCGATATACAATATCGGTAAACTGAAGTAGAAAAAGGTAAACAATGTAACTTTTGCTCGTTTTGTACTTCCTATTGATATTTAATTTATTTGACAGGCGAGTAAGTGAAATATTAAAAAAAATTAAAAACACACTAATATTTTCTCCTTTATCGTGGTGGAAGTTAACATATTAATTTTATTCCATTTAATTGCACCAACATCCGGAATCGAAAAAGTTATTTGTAGGCCATACAAATAATTCAAAGGGCAGCCATGCACATTTTTAATTAGGCAACCCATCCGCAATATATTTCACTTCATTCTCCGTACATTTCAATTCATATTTCATCACATATTATGTTTGATACAAAATACTTTTCATTCAATGAACAGATGGGTGAAGGACGAATTAATTTCGGATCTTGTGCTACGTATTTAAAATGTATAAAGTGTATTTTATACGAAACCGATCACACCTGACAATCTTTTTATAAAATTCAATGAGTAATGAGTAAATAATCGACTGGGTACTTAAAGTGTGCGTTGAAACAGGAAACAAAAGAGTATTTAATTACTAGTTACAGCTCCGAACAGGTTCAAATAACTGAAACATTTGCTGACGGAACCTCACAGTTTTCCAAAACATTAAGAGCGAGTGCAGACCGTTGACGATCCAAAGTACTTGGCTCACCCGCGTGATTTCACGAAGCCTGTTTAAGCGGACCACAGTCCGCTTAAACAGGCTAAATATTTTACACATGTCCCCCTCCCACCTAGATTACGTTTTCTTAACGTTTTATTCGTGGTAGAGCCATGCTGCAGCACTATGGTTGTAGCATGAATGGATCGGCTCGACCGGGGAAGGCCCACGTTCTCGCAGAATACCAGCGTAAAATAGCAGCTTAATGCTGCTGTGTTTTATGTGGTGAGTGTAGAGAACCAGAGACCCCTTTTTACTGAAAACGAGGCATTCCATCTTAGTCCTCGGGGGTTACAACGCATCTGCGTTTTGATTCTTAATCCAGAATAAATGTAGACGTCTGTGAGCCATAGCATCCTCTTACCATCAGGTGTACTATGTGCTCGTTTGTCACCCTTATTCTACAAAAAATATCAACAAATGTTTCGGACACACGCAGATTCCTACAACGCTTTCAGAGTATTAGATAACGTTGTAGTAAACGCAGCTGCTGATCATGAAGATGACAATCCCGTGTCTTGTCAACAATCGGTTATTTTTTCTGTCAAAATATTTTCTGTAGCAGCCCGGAGTCCCCGGGCCACGGAAAGCACGTAAAGTTGTTAGTTCTGCCCCTGACCTCTCTCTGGTCGCGTCGTATTCATACTTGTGTTGTGAGGGAATGGAACATGATATGATCTGCAGTGCAGCAGTTAAACCCTCAGATACTGAGACGTAATTATCATTTTTTATTTTTAATTACAGCAAAACGAACAATAATAAAGTAATTAAGTGAAATTCTACTAAGCATACATTCAACGAGGACGCGTTGTGAAATATCGGGCAACGGCGATATATATATCGGCGCGGAAGACTGTCCGAACACAACTCGACTTACACTCTCCAGAGAACCTAACCGCCTTACAGAATCATGAAATCTTTCGTAAGTATTCAACGCTTAAGATATACATATATATCAAATACGTAAACATATATATTCTTTATAAATTTTCATAATATATTATATAATTAGTAAAATCACAATTAACTTAATATTTATTTATTTTATTATAAAAATTTATTACCGTTGTTATTATTTTTATTTTGATTTGTTTAAACACTTGTCCAGTCTCACAATAAAGTTTTAATTCAAATCACAAAAATTAACCTGTAATTTCACCAAGTGACAACAATCGCAAGTACAAGCGAAACCAACATTCTTCACTCAATATTAACGTGCTTACGATTTCTTTAATTCAGGTCGCAGTACTGTGCCTAGTGGCATGTGTGGCAGCTGAAGAAAATGCACGCGAGAAGCGCGGCTACCTCGGAGGACTGCACTCCGGCAGCTTAGGAAGCGGCTTGTCGCTCAGCGGTGGTTACTCTGGCCACGGAGGCTACTCTGGCTCAAGTGGCTACTCCGGCTTAGGTGGCTACTCCGGCTCAAGCGGCTACTCTGCACCCTCAGCTCAGCTCATTACCGTCAACAAAGTTGTGAACGTCCCTAAAGTTGTGAGCGTGCCACAAGTAGTCAACGTAAAGAAGGTCGTCTCCGTGCCCCAAGTTATATCCGAAAATAGATTAGTATCCTCCGGCGGTGGATACAACAGCGGATTTGGAAGCGGACTCGGCGGCGGACACAGCGGCGGATACAGCAGCGGATACAGCAGTGGACTTGGAATCGGACACGGTGGTTACTCTAGCGGCTATTCCAGCGGCTGGTAATCAAGCGATGTTACGTGAAATTAGTAAATTGCCAAATTATTTTATTATAAAAATTTAAATTTATATTGACAGAAAAATAAATATGTATATTATTATTTAAATATGCATTTTAATTAATTCATCATCAATTCCACTACAGATAAAAGTGGAAAAATTAAATTGAAATATAAAAATCTTACTCTAAAACACAAATTCCTTATTGACCATATATAATATATGTAATATAGATATAAAAAATTTATAGAGCTATTTTGAACAAAAGCTTAAATAAAAACGTAACCATTAATTTACATACAAGCTACAATTTGTAATAAACTCTAATAGAAACATACACAGAAACTTTTTTACTCAGTATAGATCATTATTACTTTTTGAAAGTCACACTATTACTTTACTACTAGTTCGGAAAAAATCTCTGTCCTGGAGAAAGGCAGCGCAACTTTAAAAAAATAAACAGTTTACAATCGTAAGTATATGTTACAAAATTAACAACGCAAAACAAATTAGAAATAGCTTGGTATCATCCTTAACTTCCTTAATATTACAATAACCCTTTTTATACAAACTTTGCTTGATAAAGTTTTTGATATTTGAGGAGTTATTTTTTATATTTTCAGAGATTTTACTGCAAAAGCGCATTCATCGCCCCCTAGATTGAACTAGACTTCGTGGAGCTTGTGTCTGTTCCTAGTACGCACAGAATGAATATTATTTATTTTTTTAAAACTACTTTTGTTTTTGTGTACATTCATTACATTTTCATAAATGTATTGAGAGGCCAGAGTTAAAATATTAATAATCTTAACTTTTTGTCTGAGCGTTCTTTAAGGTTTCAAATCATAGATCGCTCTTATGACCCTTTTCTGTAAAACAAATGTTATTTCAGTGTCAATTGAGTGTCCCCATAGCAAAATATAATACGATATTTTGAGAGTGAGAACCGTCACCTGTTCATAGACCATTGTACTCAATGGACCATGATCTGGTGACCGATACCATTTAAAATAAAACGCTGAACCCGATCTTGTTTTTATTTTTATAGAATAAGGGTGACAAACGAGCACTCAGTTTACCTGATGGTAAGTGGATGCTGAACCAAAACGCAGATGCTTTGTCGCCTCTTAGAACTAAGACGTAATGCCTCGTTTCCAGTAAAAAAGGGTCTCCGGATCTTTACACTCACCATACGAAACACAGCCGTATTAAGCTGTTATTTTACGCTAGTATTCCGAGAGAGCGTGGTCCTTCCCCGGTCAAGCTGACCCATTGGTGCCATAATATAAAAAATATTGTCTTACGTATTACGGGTGTACTAATACTGCTACTTAAGTATACACAAATGTATTTTAAGTTCTGTTTACCACGTGCTCGGCGGCATAGGAAAACATGGTAAGAAAATTTGCATGCCGTAAAAAATAAAAATATTTTGAAGACATGTTAAGTTCGCCAACACGCATCAGCGCAGCGTGGTTGATATTTGTTTTAACTAGCGAATGCAAATCTCGCGAGATTGGGGCTCAAACGAGATACCGAGAGTTTATGAATAACAATACTGCGAGACTTCGCCAATTCGAGATCTCGCGAGATTGGCAGTTTTGTATGTTTTCTTTGCAAATAATCACAATATTTAAATAAAATAAGAAAAAAATAACAAGAATTATAAGTATTATAAGATAAACAATTTTTTTCACGAATTTTTTCAATAGACTTTAATGCATCACACATTGTTTGACGCATCTGTTTATATTTTTTTAATAAACTTCAAGTAGTAAACTTTGACGTACGTATCTATCAAATAAAATATGAAAGAAATAACCAGTCTTCTCTTCTAATATCAAACAAAAATCTTTTAGTAATAAAACAGTTCTTTTATAACAAACAAAACAACGAGAAGTCAAAAAAAAGGAAACTTATTATCTAAGTTGAGTTGACTATTAAACTGAGATGTCATTATCAATTAAATATAACTATATATACCCAGTAGATCCATTACATATAACATATTAATTAACAAAATATACCAATTAGTCAGACTATAACAAATTATAGATTAATTAACAAAATTTATTTGTTTATTTATTTATTTATTTATTTATATTTCTTACTAACATCTACCATTACAGTGACGATATATAATAATACATATACCAATCAAATGAAAGATTTGTTCAGTTCAAATCACAAGCTATTATTACGAATTATTTTGAAAGTAGCTCCTTAAGAAGCACAAAATGTCCAAAGAATCGTCTGCTAAACAGCTTCTTATTTTGTTGGCCAGATAACCGACAGATCGCAACTCCGTCCGTGTTAGTCCGCGCTTCGAATAAGACGTTTTTATGCCCGACTGCAATATCGTTTAAACTCGCGAGATCTCGCCCTTTTTTCTATCAATCTCGCTAAAAATCTCGATCTCACGAGATCTCGTTCTCGCGAGATCTCGGCCTTTTTTGGACGAGGGATTGTATTCTCTATCTAAAACCTTCTCAGAATTAAGAGAAAGCCTGCGCCGGGCAGTAGGGTGTAAACAGGTTATAAATTTACTATTAACTATATTAAATTTACTTTAAACTATATTAAGAAACCAATATTCTTACATTGTAATAGGCTGCATCATTATCAGTGCGAAGGTATAAACTCTGCACTCACCAGCTGGTCTGCTTAGTGTAACAAGTGTATACAAATCTTCCAAGCGATACAAGCCAGTTGCTGTGAATAAAACCAAACATTGAAATATAAAAAATAAAATCGTACATCTTATTGGTAAAAAATATAGTTTTGTGATGTCCAAAAAGATCCCGCCTCAGTAATTATTTGTGAAATACCACAGCACATATTTTCAGTCGGTCGATCTTGACTTCAGGATCAACACGACATAATATAGGTACTTACATAAACATATTTTAATAAAAATGTATTTAAAAAATGTGGTTTAAACATTCAAAAATTGATTAAGTAAAACTAATATTAACTTAAATACAAATACAAGAAGAAGACTATATTTTTATTCTATACACAAGGCTGTACGTTCAATATCTTTGCTTTAAAATGATTTATGAAAACATATCTAAATAAATCAAATGAATATGAAAATATCGATAGATAGTTTAATAACGTAATTGTGGACTAAATGTTCACTTCATACATTTATTTCAATGTTACAGTCGAAACTTTTATGCAATTTGATATTATTTTAAGCGCTTATTAACGTTTAAATCTACACCAGTTCACAAAACAAGACCATCTCCGAAAGGAACCGGCAAATTAAATTTATGTCTTTTACAATCGTTAAAATGTCATCAAATCTGGAAATAAAATTCAATGCAATGTACATTATAATAAAGTAAATACAATGTCAAATGTATATTGATTGATTGAATTTACACCGACATTACTATTAACGGGATAGAGCCACCTGCAGCTAGATTATAATTGTAGCGCGAATGAATTACTATTTCTCATAAAATACTAGCATATAATAGGTGCGAGAGAATCGGCGATCCTTTCAACTGGTACTAAGGCATTCTTGCTTGTTATTATTATTCCCCAAGGATAACAACTAAATCTAGATTTTCATTAATTGAAGACACATTGAGGTAGTTGTGGGCCACAGCACTCACTTACCATTGAGTAGACTGTGTGTTGGATTGTCTCCCATACACGACAAAAAACCCCAAGAATTTACCCCATATTGTTAACTATAATATTAATATTATTAAATAATCGACGTTGCGCTATATTATGGTTGTAGCATGAATGAGTCGGCTCGACCGGGGAAGGACTACGCCTCACAGGATACCAACGTAAAATAGCAGCTTATTGTTGCTGTGTTTCGTATGGTGAGTGTAGAGAACTGGAGACCCATTTTACTGGAATCGAGGTATTTCACCTTAGTCCTCAGGGTGACGATTGTATCTGAATCATCATCACATCTGCATTTTGATTCTTAATCGAGGTTAAATGTCGATGTCTATGGGCCACAGCATCCACTTACCACCAGATGGACTGTGTGCTCGTTTGTCACCCTAATCCTGTAAAAAAGAGGAATTATACACAAATTTTATATAAGTAAAATTACGACCCGAAGGAAGTATTTTTGCCCATACAAATACTTGTTCCGTGCGGGATTCAAACCCGCAACCCTCAGTGTCGCAATTAAAACATTTACTCTTAGGAAGAAAATGGAGTTCTAACATTTATTACATCATTATCGTTACGGCCTATCAATATTTACTACTGAAAATATGCCACCCCCACAGATTACCCCATATAGACGACATTTACCATGGTTGTCACACCTGCCCGGCGGGCTGGCAGCCACAGTTTTTATTTTCCTGCCTGTCTGCTTTTAGTTTTCCTCTGTCGTCCTATGAAACACAGAACGAAATGGGAAGTATATAATATTATACATCTTTCAGATGTTACAAACACAAACTGGCTGTAAAACAAATGTGATATCAAACTTGCTACCAATTTAATATTAACAAATAATAAACGTACTACAATGCCATAAGTGCAAAATTGTAACTGGACTCCGCTCAGCGAGAACACCTTACGAAATATCGAGAAATGGAGAGATATATATATCGGCGCGGAAAATTATCTCAATATCATTTTACTTCCGTTCACCAGAGAAACCTACCGCTCTTACAGCATCATGAAATCCTTCGTGAGTATCTGTCTATCAGTATTAATAATACCTAAAATAAGTTTACTAAAATATTACCTAAGTCAAATGAAACATATTCGAAATTAAGGTGAATTTTATACAATTCAAAAATGTTCCATTCCCACATGGTCCCATTTTTGTTTATGTACTTCTTCTGTGCGTGTGTTTAGTCATTGACCTCCTCTTTAATAGTTGGATATTTTGTGTGTGCTTGAATGGATTGTTTAAATTTACAACTAAACCCAGTGAACAGCGTTGTTCCAGAAATCACCCATGCGAAGCTGAGCGGATTGCTAGTCTTATATATGTTTATAAAAAAATTGTAAAATTAAAGTAACAGCTTCCTATATGTCCAAATACAATTCTATACGTACAGATGATATGAGATTTTTGTGACTCATAGAAAAGTTCAAAATATCTTGACAATATAAAATTATATAATTCTGTCTTGCACTGATAGCAAATTTTTAAGAAACGTATATAGAATTATTTTTTTTATATATATAGAATTATTATATTATATGTAACAAAATAGAAATGTTTTATTTCTATTTTGTTACATATAAACATAACTAAACTGTTATACTGTACTGTTACATATAAACATAATAAATATTGACATAAATACAACAATGGTGCAAAATTTGCACCATTGTTGTATTTATGTCAAATGTTTTATTTCTATTTTGTTTTGTAACAGAAAAATATGACTAATTTAGTAACCCTAAATGTTTTAATTATGAAACAAGTGTAATCTATTATAAATAATTCTATATACGTTTCTTAAAAATTTGCTATCAGCGCAAGACAGGATTATATTGCACGTATGTATGCCCAAACATACTCTATATTCCCTCACTCCCATAGTCCGATGGAACGGCAATTCATTATGATCGGGAAGGAATCTGGATTTCTGAGGCACGGTGCTAAAACGTCGCCATTATTTTGGCTTGGGGTTTCTATTACGAATTTCTTGAACCCAATGATTGATTTTGCCTGAGCCGAGATTTGAACCTACATAATCAGCAGTCGTGCTTATGACCACTAGACCAACGAGGCAGTCTCCATAAGTTCTTGTACGCTTATATTGGTGGCGTAAGAAAATATTCCACCCCGTGCTATCTCGTGGATGTCGTGACACAAGGAAATCAAACAGGACATGGGGAGCAGGATTCTGTTAATATCTTAAAACTAAAAAAACTGTAGTTTCTGACCGGATTTTCAAACTTGTTAACTATAGCTAAATATTCAAAATTTTATCTTTCGCGAAACATATTTTCAGCTATGGACCTTGAATAGGCTGTAACCAATAACTGAACGAATTTATGTATAACGATAAAAATAATAATATATTATTGTTATTATTATAACTATAATTATTGTTATTATACATTATTGAATTCTGGTTGTTGGACGAATTATTATGCTCGACTTTGGTAAGACTCACAGAATACCAGCCTAAAATAGAAGCTTAATGCTGCTGTATTTTGTTTCTCAATTTAGGATAAATGTATGAATGCAGCGGCATCCACTTACCATAAGGTGGAAGTGCACGTGTTTCACTTTTATCCTAGTAAAAAATCTTTATTTTCAGATTGCAGTGTTGTGCCTGGTGGCGTGTGTGGCCGGTGCTAGCTTACGTGAGAAGCGCGGCTACATCGGAGGGCTGCACTCTGGCAGCTTTGGAGGTGGCTTGTCGCTCGGCGGTGGTTACTCCGGCTACTCTAGCTCAAGCGGCTACTCTGCGCCCTCAGCTCAGCTCGTCACCGTCAACAAAGTTGTGAACGTCCCTAAAGTTGTGAGCGTACCCCAAGTAGTCAACGTAAACAAGGTTATCTCCGTGCCTCAAGTTGTATCTGAGAACAGATTAGTGTCTTCCGGCGGCGGATTTGGAAGCGGACTCGGCGGCGGACACAGCGGCGGATACAGCGGTGGATTCGGAAGCGGATACGGTGGTTACTCTAAAGGCTGGTAATTTGGCGACTTTCATTGAGTTTTTGAGGGATTTGATTATTTATTAAGTGTAAAAATTAAATATAATATATATTTTTACATATCATTAATTTATTATTATTTAATTATATCCCGTTACCATTTTATATGTTACCCAAGAAATATTAATATAATGACTGCCTCGTGGTTGTCAATGCGGTTGCCGGTCATATGATCCCGTGTTTAAACCCGGGTCGGGCTAAAATCTGTTATTGGGTTTTTCTCTAGAAATTTGCAGTAGCACCCCGGATTCAGAAGCCTTGGCTCCTGCGTCCGATCTCGCTTAGGTCGTGCCGGATTACCGCGACTTCGGACTATGAAAGTAAGGAAATGGAGAGTACACCGGTGCATCCGGTACCGCGCAGATGGCTAATCTCAGTTGAGACTGATCGCCGTGACCGAAATTCGGTCTGGTGAACATTATTATTGTTTTCACATATGAAGAAGTGGATTCGTACAATCCCACGATGATGTTACGCATACAGAACGAAACCAAAAATCCAACATCTGAAATAATCATGTGAATAAAAGTACAAACTAGAGCTATAACAAAATAAAAAAATGTCTTATATACCACTACCATCTATAAGTAAATGCATAAAACAGACAAAGTCTTGATTTTTGATTGATTGACAAAAGACTTGATTTTTGCCGAGAAAGAAATAAATTTGCAAAGTTGAAAAAAGTAAAGCAGCAGTGCGTGCACTGGGTTCGAATCCCACATAGAACAAGTATTTGTATAGCTTACGAACGATTGTTCCAGGTCTAGATGTTTGTCTTTGTGATGTTTATGTATGTAAACTGCCTCCACTAAAGAGGAGAAAGTTCTAATGTGGAGGTAATGTTTTTTCAAATAATAAAAAAGAAAAAGGAAGAAAAGGCTGCATTCCATGTTAGTGACAATGCATGTATTGCCTTTTTTGTATGTAGTTCGTTGCAGTCGTCTATTGGATTCAGTAGGCACCTATCATCAGTTTTACTGTAAGTATTCGTGACATAAAGGACAAGTGCACTTTTATACATTATAACAAACGAAGAATGCTTATACCAAATAAAACTAAATAAGGATAAAGTGTGGATTTTAGTACAGAAAAGAAGGTTAAGAAACAGGCTTGTAACAAAATTGGGAATGCAGCTGCAGAGTTAAATGGAAGGGAAAAATGTAAAGCGGCAGAGGCAAATCCCCTTTTTTATTTCAAAACTCTTTCATATATTTTCAAGTATCTGAAAAGGATATAATTGACTTTATTCACAAAAATACAGAGGAGAACGTTTATTTAGTAAAGATAAATATAAAAATACAAATAAATTACAATTCGTACCTTTTCTTGTTTTTGTTGGTGTTGTCGTGCGTCAAATCCAAGAAAACAGCTTAATGGCTTGGTGATCATTGTATAAAGAAATATACTTCTTTCTAGTTCTAAGTAGCTTTTTTATAGGATAAGGGTGACAAGCGAGCACACAGCCTACATATAAGTAATTGTTGTGGTCCATAGACATCTACATCTATCCTCGTCTGCGAATCAACATGCGTTGTTACACGTGAGGACTAAGATGGAATGCCTCTTTTCCAGTACAAAGGGTCTCCGATTCTCTACACTTATCACACGAAACACAGCAGGATTGAGCTGCTATTTTACAGCGGCTGGTATTTAGGCTATAAATAACTTTTGGAGAAGGAGAGCAAAAATTAAGGGAATCCGATTTTGTGGCTATTGAATATATATCAATATTTTATATATATATATATATATATATATATATATATATATTACGTATATAAACACTTTTAAATTTTAACTTATATTTTCAATATAATGGATAGTGATAATAAAACTATCGGAGACTTGGCTACTACCAAACTTATTGCCATTACCGAGCACAGTTGGTAGTGATTTTGATGCTACGGGAACGTCGGCAATCAACACCTGTTCTAGCCTACTCACTGGTAGACCATACGGTGATTTTGTGCTGTTATGAAATAAAGTGCGTTTCAAATAATTTCTGTGATGAATTTTGATAATGTTCGGATAGTAGCAACTAAAATAACTGTAATTAATAGATCTGTAGTAATTTTAAGCGTATACATGTCGACAAACTGCAATGAAAATCTTAGTATACAGAATTCCCTAATTTAATAAAATCTATTATTGAATTGGAAGAGAAATGTGGTATGAAGTGTGAATGTGGTGTGGTTTTATTTGTGCACAATGGATATTCTTACACCGCCCCTGTTTAATATATTATGGACTATAAACGCACATCGCTCCGAATGGCTCGATTCAAGTTTAACCGATCATGCGGGGGATCAGTTTTAATTTTCCTACGCGGATTCCAGATGTGGAAAACCATTTACCTTCCTTGTTGGACCTTCTGCTGACCTCTCATCCAAGCGGATATCAAGTTCTTCGTCGACACCCCTCTTGGCTCGGACCATTATCTAGTCCGGAGAGTGGTACTACTAACGCTAACATCACGATTGTATTCTGCAGGCTACCGCCGTGTTTGGGCAGGTCGGCCGATTAGGATAGGATGCGGTCCTTTTTACATCCTACCTTTGGGGGCGGATTTGCTTCTAGCCGGACGATCCCACCGTTGTTCCAGTTACCAGTTCTCAGATGTGGTAGGGTATGAAACTTTTTATACCTTTTTCTGTGGTGCTCATCGGGGGCAGATCCCAGCCATGAACTGATCGCTTCTTAAAAATAGCAAAACTCGCGAAACGCAAAAGTATCACTGCCAAGGCAAAGTCAGAGCACATTGGCAGAATTGGCAAGAAACTAGTTGGTCTTCCTTCAGGAATTCGTGCATTTTGGTCTCTTGCCATGGTTGACTAAGGGAACCTCTGTCAGCCATCTTCCCTCTATCTACACAGAGAGAACGACTCACTGACACATGTCTCAAAGAAAGCCGATCTGCTAGGCTCTCTCTTTGTGTCAAACTCAACTCTCGATGACGGGGGAGCACACCGCCGACTATCCTGCGGTGTAAGTGCTCCATGTCGGATGTGTGGTTTACACAGCGTTCGGTTCATAAAACACTCCTATCACTGGACATCCACAAGACGAGTGAGCGTTACGGAATCCCCCATTGTGCTGAGGACATGTACTCCAGAATTGACACTGGTTTTAATGCGTCTTTTTCGGTTCTCCTACTCCCTAGGCGTAGTCCCGAATCGATGGAAGACATCTCTATACACGTTGTCAAAACGTCACCGAGTACTGGAACAAACTTGTGTCTAAAGTCGAGTCTTTGCGGAACAAAGTTTTAGATTGGGGGTGACGAAATCTAGTCCAGTTCTATGCCGAGAAGACACAAGTTTGCACGTTTACTGCTAAAAAAACCCTTTGTCGTATCTCCTCCTTTTTAAGGCACTCACCTTGTTGCCTCAGCCAATATTGGAATCCTCGTCGTCGACTTATCCAATGATGTGCAGTTTTGTGGTTTCCTGGAAGAGAAGGCCAAATTGGCTTCTTAAATGCTTTTCGTGCTCAGCAGAGGGGGACAGTATTTCTTGCCAGCACACAGTCTGGAACTTTAGATGGCGCAGGTTCGGCCACTCATGGAATACTGTTCCCATCTCTGGTCCGAGGCTCCCCAGAGCCAGCTCCTACCACTTGACCACATCCAGAGCAGAGCAGCTCGAATCATCAATGACCAAGTCCTCTCTGATCGGCCCGATTCACTGGCGATGCGGAGAGATTTTGCATTTTCTATCGCATTTACAAAGGGGAGTGCTCTGAGCAATTGTTCGTATTAATTCCAGGCGCCAAATTTCACTAACGCACATCGCGACAAAACTCACGGTACCATCCACACCATCTGGATGCTTGGCGGTCCATCACCGTACATTTTACTATGAGTTTTCTTCCTCGTACGACCCCTCTGTGGAATTGTTTACCGCCTGCTATATTTCTGGACCGATACAACTTCACGAAAAGAGCTTATTCCTTTCTAAAAGGCCGGCAACGTACTTGCAACTACTCTGGTGTTGCAGTTGTTGGTGGGCGGCGGTAGTCACTTACTATGCAGATAAGCGGCGTGCTCGTTTGCCCCTTCTTCAATGAAAAAATTTATAACACGTATTGAGAGTAAACAACAAGTCACAAAAGCTTTTTTGTTATATCTGGCTTAAAAAATGATGTCCTCTTTCCTGTCTACTAGGAAAAATTTACTGCATTGATTAATAACGGTATAATAAAATCATATATTACAATTATTTTAGAAGCAGCTTCACGTATAACTATTGCTAAAATTTGACCCGTTTTATACAGTTTTCTTATGTGACAATTGACTTATTTAATTAATTAAAATTAACATTTTAAGTTACTATTTTTATTAGCGAACGTTAGCACTACAAGCGTTGATGTCTTTTAAAAGGAGCATTCAGTTTCGCAATGAAATAAAGGACATCAGAAGAATCTCTGCCTGAAACTTAAAAATTTATACAAATACTGCTTTTTTAAGAATCTCTGCGTGAAATTATTTACTAAAATTAAATCTTATACAAGCAATCGTTCACAAGCTCACGTCTGAACACAGTCTTCTCCCAGGCAATGCCACAAAACACGCTCCTAAACCATGTATGTGTAGTCCATATAGATATGGATATCTTACGAATAAAATGATAATGCAAATGAAATATAAACTTTTTATTATTCGACGTAATAAGCTTAAATCATTTTTATTTGAATATGACTATACTAATTTGAATTAGAATTATAATATGGATGTTGGAAACAAGAAAGAATGGGATACCTGGAATATAAAATAGGACAACAATAAAATGTATAAAATAACAAATATACCATACAATTTTCACACATTAAAAATTGCATGCCAAATTCAGAACCTGCAGGACAGATCATTAATTTTAAAATTCAATAAAATATTTTGAAGACATGTGAATTTCGTCAACACGCATTGGCGTAGCGTGGCTGATATTTCTTTTACTTAAAATCTTCTGAGAATCAAAAAAGCCTATGGCCAGCTGTAGGATGTTAAAAGGTTATAAATTTACTATTAAATATTAAATTTTCTTTTAATTATATTAAGAACCCCAGATTCTTACATTGTAATAGGCTGCATCATTATTAGTGCGAAGGTATAAGTTCCGCACTCACCAGCCCATCTGCTTAGTGTAACAAGTGTATACAAATATTCCAAGCGATATAAGCTAGTTGCCGTTAATAAAACCAAACATTATACATTGAAATATAAAAAATAAAATCGTACATCTTATCGATAGAAAAATATAGTTTTGTAATGTCAAAAAAATCCCGCCTCAGTAATTATTTGTGAAATACCACAGGACATATTTTCAGTCGGGATATTGATTCCACGATCAACTCGAGATAATATAGGTACATAAACCTATTTTAATAAAAATGTATTTAAAAAAAGTGGTTTAAAAATTTAAAAATTGATTAAGTAAAACAAATATTAATTTAAATACAAACACAAGAGTTTTTAACAACAATTTTTATTCTATACACAAGGCTGTACATCAAGATCTTTGCTTTAAAAAATAATTTATAAAAACATATCTAAATAAAGCAAATGAATAGGAACATATCGATAGATAGCTTAGTAAGTAAACATAAGGTTTTAAAAGGCTGTTGACCAATTGTGGACTAAATGGCTGTTAATTTCTTGTGTTGTGATGTTTACTTCATACATTTACTTCAATGCCAAAGTCTTATTAATGTTTAAATCTACACCAGTTACCAAAACAAGAACATCTCCGAAAGGAACCGGCAAATAACTTTATTCCTTTTTAATACGGTGTTACAATGTCATCTACAACTGAAAATAAAATTCAATGCAATGTCCATTATAATAAAGTAAATACAATGTGAAATGTATATTCATATTTTATGTTAAAGAATTTACACCGACATTACTATTAACGGGATAGAGCCACCTGCAGCTAGATTATAATTGTAGCGCGAATGAATTACTAAAATACCAGCATATAATAGCAGCTGTATTTCGGATGGTGCGAGAGAATCGACAATCCTTTCGACTGGTAGTAAGGCATTCTTGCTTGTGATTATTATTCCCCAAGGATAACAACTAAATCTAGATTTTGATTATTAATTGAAGATACATGGAGGTAGTTGTGGGCCACAGCACTCACTTATCATTGCGTAGACTATGTGTTGGATTGTCTCCAATACACGATAAAAAACCCTAAGAATTTCCCCCATATTGTTAACGATAATATTAATATTATTCAATAATATGAATTGATAAGGATTAATACGTCGTAGAGCCACGCTGCAGCTATATTATGGTTGTAGCATGAATGAGTAGGCTCGACCGGGGAACGACTACGCTCTCACAGAATACCAGCGTAAAATAGCAGCTTAATGTTGCTGTGTTTCGTATGGTGAGTGTAGAGAACTGAAGACCCATTTTACTGGAATCGAGACATTCCATCATAGTGCTCAGGGTGACAACACATCTGCATTTAAATTCATAATCGAGGTTAAATGTCGATGTCAATGGGCCACAGCATCCACTTACCACCAGGTGGACTGTGTGCTCGTTTGTCACCAATTTTATATTTGCAATTATATATAGGTAACATTATAACCCGAAGGAAGTATTTTTTGCCCATACAAATACTTCTTCTGTGCGGGATTCAGACCCGCAACCCTCAATGTCGTAATTAAAACATTTACTCTTAGGAAGAAAATGGAGTTCTAACATTTATTACATCATTATCGTTACGGCCTATCAATATTTACTACTGAAAATATGCCACCCCCACAGATTACCCCATATAGACGACATTTACCATGGTTGTCACACCTGCCAGGTGGGCTGGCAGCCACAGTTTTTATTATCCCGCCTGTCTGCTTTTAGTTTTCCTCTGTCGTCCTATGAAACACAGAACGAAATGGGAAGTATACAATATTATACATCTTTCAGATGTTACAAACACAAACTGGCTGTAAAACAAATGTGATATCAAACTTGCTACCAATTTAATATTAACAAATAATAAACGTACTACAATGCCATAAGTGCAAAATTGTAACTGGACTCCGCTCAGCGAGAACACCTTACGAAATATCGAGAAATGGAGAGATATAAATATCGGCGCGGAAAACTATCTCAATATCATTTTACTTCCGTTCACCAGAGAAACCTACCGCTCTTACAGCATCATGAAATCCTTCGTGAGTATCTGTCTATCAGTATTAATAATACCTAAAATAAGTTTACTAAAATATTACCTAAGTCAAATGAAACATATTCGAAATTAAGGTGAATTTTATACAATTCAAAAATGTTCCATTCCCACATGGTCCCATTTTTATTTATGTAATTCTTCTGTGCGTGTGTTTAGTCATTGACTTCCACCTTAACAGTTGGATATTTTTGTGTGAGCTTGAGTGGATGGTTTACCGAACGGTTAAGAAGGTGGTCCTTAACGGTTGGATCGATTTTGATTAAATGTTTTTGTGTGTTTGAGTAGATGGTTTAAATTTACAAGTGAACCCAGTGGGTGGCGCTGTCGTCTAGTCCAGGAATGGCCCGTTTTTTTGCGTGGTAGAGCCGTGCTGCAGCTATATTGTGGTTGCAGCACGAATAGGTCGGATTGACCGGGGTAGGACCACGCTCTCACAGAATACTAGCATCAAATAGCAAAACCGTAAAAACCGGAGACCCTTTTTATTGGAAACGAGGCATTCCATCTCAGTCCTCAGGGCTGACAGCGCATCTGCGTTTAGATTCTTAATTGAAGATAAATGTAGATGTCTATGGGCCACAGCATCCACTTGCCATAGGGTGGACTGTGTGCTCGTTTTCTCTTATTCTATATAAAAAGGATGAATCGCTGGTCCAAAATATATTTATAAAAAATTAAGTTAAATTAAATTAAAGTAACAGCCTCCTATATGCATACGTTCCACTGCTAGACATATAAACACGGATAGAAATGCAAATACATTTCTATACGTACAGGTGATAACAGATTTTGTTACACATAGAAAAGTTTAAAATATCCTACCAATATAATTGTTGCACCATTGTTGTATTTATGTCAAATGTTTTATTTCTATTTTGCTTTGTAACAAAAAAATATGCCCAATTTGCTGCTGTGCTGAAACGCCGTCATTATCTTGATTTGGGGCTTCTACTGCGAATTTCTTGACAGAAAAACCCAACGATTGATTTTTACCTGACCCGATATTCAAATCTACCTATTCAGCAGTCGTGCTTATAACCACTAGACCAACGAGGCAGTCTCCATAAGATATTGTAAGCTTATATTGGTGGTTTTGGGATATGGAGGCGTTTTTTTCTTCCTCCTGTTAACAACCTAAAACAAAAAAAAATAAGGTTTCTGACAAGCTTTTGAAGCTTGTTAACTACAGCAAAATATTCAAAATTTTATCTTTGGCGTAACATTTTTTCAGCTGTAGACCTTTAATAGGCTGTAATCAATAACTGAACGAACAACGAATAACGATAAAATTAATAATATTTTTATTGTTACTACTGTAACTATTTTATACTTTGTAGAGCCTCGCTGCAGCGATATCATGAAATAGAAGCTTAATGCTGCTGTGTTTTGATTCTTGATTTGGGATAAATGTATGGATGCCACAGCATCCACTTACCATTAGATGGAAAGTTGGTGGTGCAGGTGCAGGTTTGTCACTCTTATTCTAGTTTCAAATCTTTATTTTCAGATTGCAGTGTTGTGCCTGGTGGCGTGTGTGGCCGGTGCCAGCTTACGCGAGAAGCGCGGGTACCTCGGAGGGCTGCACTCTGGCGGCTTTGGAGGTGGCTTGTCGCTCGGCGGTGGTTACTCGACCATAGTGGCTTCTCTGGCTCAAGCGGCTTCTCTGCGTCCTCAGCTCAGCTCGTCACCATCAACAAAGTTGTGAACGTCCCTAAAGTTGTGAGCGTACCTCAAGTAGTCAACGTAAACAAGGTCATCTCCGTACCCCAAGTTGTATCTGAAAATAGGTTAGTGTCTTCCGGCGGCGGATACAGCGGCGGATTTGGAAGCGGGCTCGGCGGCGGACACAGCGGTGGAGTCAGAAGCGGACACGGTGGTTACTCTAGCGGCTGGTAATCAGGCGAATTTCGATGATTTTTTTGTGGGATTTGAGTATTTATTAATTGTAAAAATTAAATATAATATTTATTTTTACATATATTAATTATTATTTCATTATGTCCCTTAACCATTTTATATTTGACCCAAGATATATTAATATTAGGACATGTACGTGGTTATAAACGCAGTTGCTGGTCAAAAGATCCCGGGTTAGAAACCCAGGTCGGGCTTAAATCAGTTATTTGGTTTTTTCTCAAAAAATTCGCAGTAGCAGCCCGGATTCAGAAGCCGTAGATCCTGCGCCCGATCTCTCTCAAGTCGTGCCGGATTACCGTGCATTCGGACTATGAAAGTGAGGGAACGGAGAGTACACCTGTTCATCTGGAACTGCGCAGATGGCTAGTCTCAGTTGAGACTGGTCATCGTAACCGAAATTCTGTCTGATGAACATTATTATCATTTACACATATTTAGAAGTGGATTTATTTTTTCAATCCCACGAAGACATTGATGTTAATACACATACGGAACGAAACCAAAAATCTGACATCTGAAGTAATCATTTGAATAAATATACAAACTAGAGTTATAACAAATTTAAAAAATATCTTATTTACCACTAACTACTAAATGCATAGAAATAGGTAAATGTTTAGAACAGACAAAGCCTTGATTGCCTTTAGTTTTAAAAAAATAAAGCATTATTTCTGCCATTAAGCAGCAGTGCGTGCACTGGGTTCGAATCTCACATAGAACAAGTATTTGTATAGCTTACGAATAATTGTTCCTGGTCTAAATGTTTTTCCTTGTGAGGTTTATGTATGTAAACTGCCTCCACTATACAGGAGAAAGTCCTAATGTGGAGGTAACGTTTTTTCAAATAAGAAAAATTCATGCATTCCATCTTAGTGACAATGCATGTATTTATTGAAATTGTAATTGTTTGTTTGAAGTTGGTTGTAGTTGGTTAAGGATAAGTGAACCAGAAATGGGAACAGTATTCCAAGAGTGGCCGAACCTGCGCCATCCAAAGTTCCAGACTGTGTGCTGACATAAAATACTGTCCCGTTTTGCTGAGCACGCCAAGCATTTTAGAAGCCAATTTAGCCTTCTCTTGCAGGTGACCACGAAACTGCTTATTATTCGATAAGTCGACGCCGAGGATTCCAATATTGGCTGAGGCAACAAAGCGAGTGCCTTGAAAAGGAGGAGATACGACAACGCGGTTTTTTAGCAGTAAACGTGCATACTTGTGTCTTCTGGGCATTGAACTGGACTAGATTTCGTCACTCCCAATCTGAGATTTTGTTCAGCAAAGATTCGAATTAAGACACAAGTCTGTTCCAGTACTCGGTGACGTTTTCCCGAGAAATATTGGCACGGCCGGTGTACAGAGCATCACCAGTACTGTTATCCGCATAGCAATGAATGTTACAGGCTTACAACATATCACTGATATGCAGAAGAAACAGCATTGGTGATAGTAGGCATACTTGTAGAACACCAGCATTAATAGGCTTGTAATTGGAGCGTGCACCATCTACTACGATATTGATGCTCCGATCTGCAAGAAAGCTAGTGATCCAATTGCACAATTTCTCGGGAAGCCTACGGGAAGGGAGCTTCAAAAGAAACTGGCCTCTAAAATAAAAGAAATTGGCCTCTAAAATGCTTGGCGTGCTCATCAACGCGGGACAGTATTTTATGTCAGCACACAGTCTGGAACTTTGGATGGCGCAGGTTCGGCCACTCATGGAATACTGTTCCCATCTCTGGTCCGAGGCTTCCCAGAGTCAGCTCCTTCCAGTTGACCGCATCTAGCGCAGAGCAGCTCGAATCGTCGATGACCGAGTCCTCTTTGATCGGTATTGCTTCACTGGTGCTGCGAAGAGATGTTTAATCTCTTTGCATTTTCTATCGCATCTACCACGGGGAGTGCTCTGAGGAACGGTTCGGAATAATTTCAGCCATAAAATTTCACGAATGCACATCGCAAAAAAAAACTCACGGTATCATCCACGCCATCTGTTGGCTTGGCAAATGCTCGACGGTCCATCACCGTACGTTTCAAAAGGAGTTTTCTTCCTCGTACGACCCCTCTGTGGAATTGTTCACCACCGGCGATTTTTCCGGTCCGATACGACATAGGGACCTTCAAGAAAAGAACTTACTCCTTTCTAAAAGGCCGGCAACGCACCTGCAACTACCTTGGTGTTTCAGTTGTTCGTGGGCGGCGGTAATCACTTACCATCAGGTGAGCCGTATGCTCGTTTTCCCCCACTCCTTTCAAAAATCACTTTGTAAGTTTTTCTCTATCTCATCTTGATTTTTGGCAGCATAAAGGATGCGCATGTCATCCGCATACATAGAAACAGCACAGTGTTCAATTACGTTACATATACTGTTAACATGCATTATATAGCCCACTGGTCCATATACGGATCCAGTAGGTACAGCTGACTTTACATTTTCCTCTTTTCCCGTAATAATTTTAATGACTGTTACTATTTTCATATTTTTTAAATAATTACTTAGCCACCTATTAATAGGACCGCGTATACCACATTCATCCATTGCTTTTAACAAGAGATTATGTTTTAAAGTGTCAAATGCTTTTTTCTAATGTGTTTCATGTAAAATATATGATAGGAAGCAGTTTTTTAAAATTCCGCTGTGTTTCTAACAGGTTCTTCCCAGGACAGAGGTGTTTTCCGCACCAGTGGTAAATTAAACAAAAGAGTAACTTTCATACATACATAAACACTCACGCCTGTCACCCAGAGGGGTAGGCAGAGACTACAGACTTCCATTTGGCACGATCCTGACACACCTCTCTCGCCTCCTTCACATCCATACATCTACGCATGCATGCTCGTCGGTTAAGGGTACTCCTAATTTGGCCCGTTTTCAATAAATCGCCAATTTGGTCGATAAATTTTCGCCTAGGACGTCCCTTTCCGACTCTGCCATTCACTTCTGCAACATAAATTTTCTTTGTCACTCTTTCCTCATCCATTCCTTCCACATGACCAAACCACCGAAGCATTCCTTTCTTAATCCTGGTCACAACGTAATCTTGCAAAACCACACTCTTCTCTTATCACACAATTCTTCACCCTGTCATTCAGATTCAGCCCTAACATACTCCTTAACGACCGCATTTCTACTGCATTTATTCTACTCTCGTGCTTCTTCTGCCACACCCAACTTTCACTACCATACGTTAAAGTAGGGACCAACACAGCATTGTGAATTGCCAGACGTGCCTTTATTGACACATTTTGACTCTTCACAATAGAGTGCAGGGCCCCATTTACTCTGTTTCCTGCGTTCACTCGTCGTTCTATATCCTTATCATATCTCCCATCCCTGCTAAATACGCAACCCAAATATACAAACTCATCTACTTGCTCGATCAACTCCCCATCTATTCTTATTTCACATATCGTTTTACTTTCATCTCTTTCAAAAACCGTAATTTTCGTCTTACTTGCGTTCACTTTCATACCCCTTTCTTTTAATGATCTGTTCATTAATGTAACCATCATTTGCAACTCAGCCGCTGACGACGCAAGAATAACTTGATCATCGGCGTACAAAAGGCATTTGATGGTTAACTCACCCATTCTTAATCCGCATTCTTCAACTTTCAAATTTTGCAAACAACTGTCCATAAATAGGTTGAACAACCACGGGGAAGCCACACAGCCCTGTCTGACACCTTTAGGGATGCCAAACCAGTCGGAGTAGACCCCGTTGATCCTAACACAAGCACTAGAGTCCCTATAAAGAGATTCCAATGCCTGTATCAAGCCAGCGCTCAACCCATATGAGTTCAGTGTTTGCCATAGCACATTCCTATCCACTCTGTCATAGGCCCTCTCCAAGTCCATGAACGCACAAAAAACCTTTTGGTTTTTGGCCAAAAAACTTCTCCGCGATCATGCGCATGGAGAAGACTTGATCTGTACATCCCATTCCCTTTCTAAATCCCGCTTGCACATCCCAAATTTTTCCATAGGTTTATTTCATGACCCTTTCAATTAGTACCTTGGCATACAATTTTCCCACGATGCTAAGAAGGCTGATACCGCGGTAGTTTTTACAGTCCTGCTGCGACCCTTTTCCCTTATATACTGGGACTATCACGGCTTTGCACCAGTCTCCCGGTACCCGCTTCAGTTCCCAGCATACATTAAATAAGGTGTGCAGCAGGCCTGCCACCACTTCCTCTCCAGCCCTTAGCATTTCGAATGAAACTCTATCATAACCGGCAGCCTTACCTGCTTTCATGCTTTTCATTGCTTTCATTATTTCATCTATACTTATCTCGCTACCTCCTTCCTCTTCTTTCGGAGTTCCTATTTCATTCAGTTCATACGTTGTCTCCTCACTCATAAACATGCTTTCAAAATATTCCTTCCATCTCTTTAAACTCAAAACTTCATCATTCAGAATATAGCCATTCTTATCTCTTATAGCATTCATTATAGGCTGTTTTGAACGTCCCCCTGGCAGTTCTTACGAGTTTCCAGAACATTTTAATATTTGCCTGGAAGTTATCCGATATTCTTCTATCATTCTTATCCGTTCTTTCTTGCTTTTTCCTTTCAACTACTTCTTTTACTCTTTTATTTAGATGTCTAAAGACTGCCTTTTTTCTTTCAAAATCATTATTCGTACCGCTAGAATTACCAGCCTTAGTTGCTAGTAAATCTAGCCATGCTCTCTTCTTTGCTTCAACTTCCGTACGTATCTCATCATCCCACCACAAAGTATTATTTTTCCTTTCATTCTTTCTTTTACTAACACCACATACTTCGGTAGCTGCATCTACTAAACCTTTCTTAACATTTTGCCATACATTCTCCAAGTCTAACTCATAATACATTCTCTAAGTCTACTCATCAGTAACTTTCAATAGTTATTATTTATAATCTATATTAAATAAAAAAGTTTCTGTTTCTGCTACTTTACTGTACTCTATAACCTTGTGATGCTAAGTCTTTGTTAAT